AATCTGCAGATTATTTTCTCAGTTAAGTGATTCATTGTTTGGTTTATAAAAAGTCAGAAAATGTCATCAGATTTAATTTAAGTCCACATTAAAGAGTTTATATTCCATATTTTGTGCCACCAACAGTCCAGACCTCACTGTGCTAACAAAGAAGACAATAAAAAAGGTTTGAACCAGATAATTGTTCTTTCTTTTCTCAAAACGTATCTAAACAACTAATCTCTGTTTCTCAGGTTCATCTGCATCTATCCCATCTACATCAACAGTAAGAAGACGCTGGCTGAAGGACGAAGGATCCCCACAGAGAAGGTTCTTACTTTCTACAGTTTTAATGACGCTTTACCAACACGCTGCCACCCATTTTTTAAATATTCATTGAGAATCCATATTGTCTTCATGTATACAGAGCAAACAGTGTAAGTGGTTTTCCAGTTGTGACTAGAGCTGAATCCATGGCTCACTATAAGTCACAGCCTGCGTCTTCTTTTTAATGCTCTGCTGAGTGATTGAGTCAGAATCAGGTTTACTGTAAAGTAGGTTTTCACATACAAGGAATTGAACTTGGTGCATAATAATAAACACTGGAAGATAAAAGACACAATGAGTAGGCCCACTGAAAAGGCAGGAATCATAAATATAAATAAAAGGGATGCACAATAACATCGGTACATCATCAGTATCGGCTGCTATTGGCTTTAAAATGAAATATTAGAATCGGCCAACATGCTGATATCTGCTGATGTGACCAACGGATATATGAAGAACTTTAGAAAAAGGGAGAGACGCGTGGCTGCTCTCTGTAATCAAACGTAGATCTGAACCTTGTGTCAGGTGCTCATGGAGAACAGGAAACAACAGGATTCACAGGAAGACAATCCAGGTGCTCCAAAAATCTAGGAAACAAGGAAGGAAGTATTAAATTAAAATAATTTATTGTAGTTGCTAAATCATTAAAAGAGCCGACATGTTTTGACCACTGCAGCTCCTCGTCAGGGCTTTAAAAACAAGTTTAACATCTGTTTTACACATTTCTTAAACCACCACAAAGTAAAATAATTCTCTTTATAAAACAAAAGGCTGTGAAATATTATTTTCTTCAGGGCTTTACAAAATTTAAAGGAAACGTTCTTTTGAAATCAGACCATGAAATATTAGTACTACACAATGCAAACACAAATTCAGGGTCTTATGGTGCATTCGTTTTGTACTCAGAGGTTGGAAATTCCCAGTTCCCAGTCGGAAGTTTAAACTCCAACTTGGAAACTCGGAGCAACCGCATCAACCCCGACTTATGGATTCAAGATGGCTGCCGGTCACATACATAGTGAGTAAACACTCTGCTAAAGTACTGTTTATAGCAATTTTATCTTATTTGTTTCACATTAGGTCAGACATGTCTGCGGCGTTCATCAGTTGGAGTGCATGATGGCTTTGAAGCTGTCTATACTCTGAAAGTGCAAGGGCAACAAAGGCTTTCTTGCGGGCGTCCATGTTTTTTCCTGACTTGTCCACCGTTGTCAATAAGAATGCAAAAACTGTTGTCAACTCGGAGGTGACGTCATTCCCACTTCCGACGTCCAAGTACAAAACGAATGCACCTTTAAACCAGGGTGTTACATAAGGAGGCCTACGTAAATAAAAATACATAAAAGAGCTGCGCAGTGTTTGAAACTAGGTCGATAAAATATGTGCAGATGTTCACGGTAGAGTCGTCAGGAGATGAAGATTTTCTGCTCAAGTTTTCTTTGCCTGTCTGTGACGTTTCAGGAAGTTACACTGAAGTAGTGCAGAGTTACTTTGGTTTCACAATAAACTGCAGCAGAATCACTGTCACAGACAAATTAGACCACAGAAAGGCCTGAGTCAGGATGAAGGTGGTGTAAATGTAGTGTAACAGCTGGTGTTGTGTGTCTGCAGGCGGTGGAGAATCCGTCCTGTGCTGAGATCAGAGACGTGCTGACGGCGGCAGGGATGAACGTCTACGTGGAGGTGAAAAGAAAAACTTAATTGTTTCTGCAAGGTTACAGAAAATCACTCAAAAACATGACAACAAACATATGTACGTATATGTTTGTGTTTTCCAGAACAAGATGCATCCCAGAGAGTGGAACAGGGACGTCCAGTTCAGAGGACGAGTCAGAGTCCAGGTGAAGCAGGCGGACGGCAGCCTCTGTCAGGAAAAATTCACCTCCCGTAAGTCCGACTCACACAAACACACCAGAGTTTAAACTCGGGATAATGAAACTCATTTTCTGACCACGTTTGTCCAGCTGAGTTTAAAGATGTCCGACAGCGTTCAGGCTAAAGAGACACATATTGTCCAAAACCAGACACACAGTCTTGATCTAAGTCCTCTCATACAGAGTCTGATCTGATACTTTTATTTACTTACATGTTGGCACAAACGTCCACTTTGAGTCAAGGATGAACTGATGAGAAGTTTGTGGTCAAAGGTCAACGTCACTGTCACCCTGCGTCTGTCTCATTCTCATAAACACGAAAACTCAAAAAGGCCTCAAGGGCATGTATGCAAATTTGGCACAAACGTCCACTTGGACTCAACAATTAACTGACTAGATTTTGGTGTTCAGAGGTCAAGGTCAGCGTGACCTTGTCTGTGTCATTCTTGTGATAGCGATATCTCAAGAATACCATTAGGGAATTTCTTCAAATTCAACACAAACCTCCACTTGGATTAAAAGATGAACTGGTTAGATTTTGGTGGTCAGATTCAAAGTCACTGTGACCCTGCATCTGTCTCAGTTTCATAAATGCAATATCTCATAAAGGCCTCGAGGGAATCTTCTCAAATTTGGCACAAATGGCCGCTTGTACTCAATGAAATGGTTAGATTTTAGTCGTCATAGGTCACTGTTACTTTACAAAATGTTTTTGGCCATGACTTCAGAATTTATGCACTAATTATGACAAAATTTGACACACATATCGAACAGGATAAAATAATGAAGGTCTAAAGGTCAAAGGTCAGCTTGACTGTGACATCATCATGTTCTAACGTCATATCTCAGGAACAGAAGGGGAGACATTTGGTCAGAAACTGAATTGGTGACTCTAATCTTGAAATTGTGCTGATTGTATAGATCATCTGAGTGTGAAGCATCCATGTTTGAGAGTTTGTAGTTTCTTTGCAGCAAATTTTGAGGCATCGTAGGCAGCCCTACACATAACTATGAGGTGGTAATTTTAGTTATCATGTGATGTTTCTGTTATGTTTTTATTTCCTCAGGTAAGGACGTGATGTTCTACGTAGCGGAGATGATCCCTAAACTAAAGACTCGGACCCAGAAGAGTGGAGGAGGAGACACCAACTCTCAGCAGGGAGAGGGAGGGAAGAAGAGCAAGAAGAAGAAGAAATAGACTCAAAGAAACAACCTTTTTTTTCTTTTTTTATTAAATAATTTTAAACATGAGGTCCGTCATGCAGAATCACACCCTGAAACTAACGAATCCAGTTTTTGTTGTGACCTCAGAGACTCGCTCAGCTGTCTGCGTCCAAAATGAAAATGTGTCTCCTCTTGAATTCTTTAGATTTTGACCTCACTGACCAAACTGCTGCAGCTCATCATGGCATTTGTGAAAACGCAGATAAAGGATCTAAGTTCTGTTTTATGTCAGATTTCAGAGTGGACGATGTGTTTCTGTTTCTGTGATACACCTCGTCATTCACTCCACATTTTGTTAACGTCGCTGTGTCTGTTTGAAGACGAGATGAATAAAGATTTCATTTTCACATTTTTTGTCGTCTTAATTTGAGCATATTTATTTTCCTCGTAAAAGCCACAAAGAGACTTCATCAGCAGCACGTTGGGAAATTATCATTTATTGTTTGGCCTCACTCAGACTCTGATGGTTGTCGCTCTGTCTCTCAGCATCTGACTGTCAAAGGCTGCAGTTACACTTTCATTCTCAGTGTGACTTCTGTGATCGGATGTGCCCGATCAGAACGTCCGCCTGTGATTCCACATTTGACACTTTAGTGCCACCTGCCTGATCCCACATATTCTACGTGTTACCTGGTCGTTGTCCAAGAATAGTGAATATGAAACGTGTTTTCTGTTGAAGTACAAACGCAGGAAGATAAGTATAAGTAGAAGTGGTTACACCTCCAGTACGTTATGATGCAGAGCACACAGCTCATCGCTACATGCTTTGTTGACGTGATGTAATAAGTGCATGTTTGACAGACTCGGTGTGAACAGAGCGACGCCCGCCTGCTGTCAGGATTCAGTGTTGTGTTCACGCCGGCCGCAAATTACATTTAAAGTCGATGTAAAAATGGACGTGACGCAAAAGATGCCAAAGTGCGAATTAGGTGAGTAGCGCAATTTTGCATCAAACTTTTTTTTTTTCTTTGCGAGAATTGAAATCTGAACTTCTGCGACTGATTTGTGCTGCGACAGCCAATCAGCGTTGAGATCCTCCAGTGACGTGTGACACTGAGGATGTCAACACAAAATATTCGAGCTTATATCATAATTACGACACAAGATCTCATAGTTACAAGATAAGGTGTCATTTTGTTTTCTTAATCAAGTGAATGCAACGTGCTCCTGTACAGTAGATCTATTTACCAGTTGGACCATTACAAAGGCAGCGATGGGCTTTTAGACACTCATGGTTTTTGCTTCATTTTCCACACAACACCTTAAAGTCTCTGAAATATCTGGAAAAATTTAGTAGTAAAGCCCAAAATCTGAATCATGTGTCTCAGTGTCTTTGTTCTTTAATGTCTGTCACGTGGCTCCTTCACTGTTTCTATTGTTGTTGCCTGGTTCGTTAATATTTGTGCTGAAACATCACTTCAACCATTGCTGCTCATTTCTTATCCTTAAACTTGTGCTCCTGACTTGTTCTGTACTTCTCCTTCCTGCCCCCGGGCGTGACGTCACATCCTCTGCTCGCTATTTACTGTTACTAGGCAACCGTACTTTGCAGTTTGGCTAACTCACCAACAAACCCGGTTGACTCTGGAACTTTAGCCCGAGGAGCGATGTCCGGTCCTGTGACGGACCCGAGCCGGGCTCCGGTGGCCTTCGGCCTGCGGGCCGTCCCTCAGCTGTTTGAGGAGCTGCAGCAGCAGGAGGTGGGGAGGAAGAGGAGGAGGAGGAGGCAGCGGGCCCTGAACTCACTCTGTGACCTGATGCACGACCCGGAGAGGATCTACCAGGCCGTTACCGGAGGTACACGGTGCAGAGACGATACCGCACAGACTGGGTTCACTTACTTCATTTAAATACCGACGTACAAATACAGTATTTGGTCCCGTGTTTAAACCATGAATTGAAACCAGGTGTTTGGATTAATGAAGATAAGATAAAATAAGATAAGATAAGATAAGATAAGATAAGATAAGATACACCTTTACTGATCCCACAATTGAGAAATTCCAGTGTTACAGCAGTCAAGAGGAAAGAGTCAGATTAAAGATTTCAAAATTTAAAAATTTTAAAAAAAACTAGGCATGCAGAAAAAAGTACAAAAAATACAAGAAACAGCGATAAATAATAATGCACAGTTAGTGCAAAGTGAATATTGTATGTGCAAATAAACAACAACAACATGGGGGACAGTTATGCTCATAGTGGTGTTTACAAAGTGTCCATGGTGCAGTTTACTGTGAGAAGTGCTGGTTATGTAGCCTGACAGCAGCAGGAAGGACCTGCGATAGAGTTCCTTCACACACTTTGGGTGAATCAGTCTATCACTGAAGGAGCTCTCCAGAGCTTTTATCTCCTCCTGCAGAGGATGGGAGTCATTAGTCCTCCTTTCTCCCACCACCTGCACAGAGTCCAGAGAGCATCCCAGGACAGAGCTGGCCTTCTTGATCAGCTTGTCCAGTCTCTTCCTATCTGCAGCCGAGACACTGCTGCCCCAGCAGACTACTCCGTAAAAGATGGCTGATGCCACCACAGTGTCAAAGAAGGTCTTCAGGAGCGCTCCCTGCACTCCAAAAGACCTGAGCCGCCTCAGCAGGTAGAATCTGCTTTGGCCTTTCCTGTACAGTGCTGTTATGTGATCAGTCCAGTCCAGTTTATTGTTAAGATGAACACCCAGGTACTTATAAGATGTCACCATCTCAATGTCCTTTCCCTTGATGTTCACCGGTATTGGGAGGAGGAGTCTGCGCCTGCGGAAATCCACCATCAGCTCTTTGGTTTTCCCCGCGTTGATCTGAAGGTGGTTCCTCAGGCACCAGACCACAAAGTCCTGGTCGAGTTCTCTGTACTCCCTGTCATCCCCATCTGTGATGAGGCCGACTATGGCAGAGTCGTCAGAGAACTTCTGCAGATGACAGGTGGGGGTGTCGTATGAAAAGTCTGCAGTGTAGAGGGTGAAGAGGGCCCCCGTACTGCAGACAACCAAGTCCGATACACAATCCTGGGTCATGACATACTACGGCCGGTCCATGAGGTAGTCCAGGATCCAGGATGTGAGGTGAATAGCCACCCCTATGTGCTACAGTTTGTCCCTCAGAAGCGCAGGCTGTATGGTGTTGAAAGCGCTGGAGAAATCAAAGAACATGATTCTCACAGAGCTTCAGAGCTTCTCCAGGTGATGAAGAGGTCTATGCAGGAGGAAGATGATGGCGTCGTCCACCCCAGTGCCAGGCTGGTAGGCAAACTGCAGCGGGTCCATTGAAGAGCCTACTGCGGGGCGGAGGCGAGACAGGACCAGGCGCTCCAGAGTCTTCATGAGGTGTGATGTTAATGCCACCGGTCTGAAGCTGCTGAAGTCCTTGGAGTGCGGAGTCTTGGGCACAGGTACCACGCAGGATGTCTTCCGTAGCTGTGGTTCTCTCCCCAGCCTCAGGCTCAGGTTGAAGATGGAAGGAATTCACAGTTCTGAAAAAATGTGATCTTTATTAAAGTCATCGTGTCGTCACAACTCGTTATGAATATGACTTTAAATGAAACAGATGAAACACAATGAAATGAGGAACTCAAGTAACGTGTGTGTGTGTGTGTGTGTCTCTCTGAACTGTCACACGTGACACAATCGTCCCCAGCTGACCCCTTGACCAACATTTAAAGCTAGCTACCACACAACGTTAGCTTGCGCGCTAAACGTTGACTCAAACCTTTGAATTTTGAATAAGTGCAACACCAACATTAAAAATTACTCTGTTTTGTGTATGTTGCACAGAATGAGCAGGACGTCAGGCCAACTGTTTTATATCAACATGACGTCACAGCGCCCTCTAGTGTGGCTGTAATAAGCTCTGTGACAACCAGCCCCGGTCTCCCCTACTTTTACTGCAGATACTGGAACTTTAATTTTACTTATAGAAGATTTTGATGCAGAACCTTTATTAGTAATAGAGTACTTTTACCTCATAATAGTCTGTCAGTGCTTTTACTGAAGTACAGGATCTGAGCGCTGATATAAAAACAGATTTAGATGAAAAACAAATTTAAAATTAAATTGAAATTTAAAATTAAATAAAAATAAATACATTTTTAAAAAGTTCAAATTTAAAAAAAATAATTTTGAAATCAAATTAGAATTGAAATTAAATTTTAAACAGATTTAGAATTAATTTGTCTTGATTTAATTGTTCCTCTGTGGTTTTAAGGATTTGTTTGTAGAAAATATTATTAAACTGATTTTACCCTTTTTTTTTTTTTAAGTGCTGATACATTCTTCATCCTCCTCCTCTTCCTCTTCCTCTACCTCTGCAGGTTTTCTGGAGCAGTTGAAGGTTTTGTTTGAGGATGAAGATCCATCAGTCAGGACAAAAACCTGTGAGCTGCTTCACCTGCTGAGCGCCCACAGCATCGGCAGGTAAACAGACTGTGGTCTTATGGGGACTATTTTCAGCGGCGGATGAATCCGTGTGTGTGTGTGTGTGTGTGTGTGTCTGTGTGAGTCCAGATAAACTCCAGTGTGTGTTCATGGTGATGAAGGAACAGCAGTGTGGCTGCAGACACACACTGAGCCTGTCGGAGGAGCAGTTAGCGATGAGCCGTTTGTCCTTCCTGTACTCTGTGATGTCACCAGCAGATGGCGGTGTAACACAAATCACTGAGGGTCAAACTGTAGTGACATTTAGTCACACAGTGAATCTGTCAGTGGAAATAAATGACAGCAGGAAGTGACACCACATGATGGACGACGGCAGCTTTAAAGCTCCAGTGTGTCGGATTTAAATCTGATCTAATGGTTGTGTTCTGGTTCCCTCAGAATGACACGTTTATATCTCCACAGGGAGCAGGTCCTCGTCTACAGAGGTCACCATGTTGCACCACCATGTTTCTACAGTAGCCCAGAACGGACAAACCAAACACTGACTCTAGATAGAGACATTCATGTGTTCATATCGGACACTGTAGTGAGAAACCGGTTTAAATCAGCTGGTGTGTGTGTTTCTGAGAGGAAGAGACCTCTGAGGATAATTCAGCTCCTCAACAATCAACACTGAAGGAATTATAACCAGGAGCAGTTTCAGATGGTTGTAATCTGTAATCTGTAATCTGTAATCTGTAATCCTCACTGATAGACGACACTGAATCTGACACACTGTTCCTTTAAATCCCTGTTTGTTTATTGGTGTCTGTGTTGTGTCGTCCTGCAGACAGGCCCTGCTCTCCTCCTCCCTCCTCCCTGCTCTGTCTCAGCTGTTGGACGACTCCTCGTCCTCCTGCAGGCTGAACGTCCTCCGAGTGTTGAACCGCCTCACTCTGCTGCCTGCAGGTAAACTCATCACCTCTGAGTCCAAACTAGAGCTGCACAGGGAATAAAGATAATGTTGAGATCACTAAATGACTCAGTGCAGGAGCTGCAGTTTATTATGAAGGCTACACCGCAGAGATCTGAAGACGGAGTGTCTCTGACTCTTGAAATTAAATGATTAAAGATAGATAGATTATTTTTATAAACATGTTTCACTGTCAGGGGAATGAGTTTAACTGCTGCTGTAGTAATAGACAGCAGCAGTTAAACTGATAATAATAATTATGATTATGCTGTAATCATAAACTCAGTCACATGCGAAATTGTGTTAGAATATTTTGTCTTGTATCACTTCATTATTTAAAATTTAACTGTTGTGTAATTGCTGAATCGATGAATGAAGTTCTGCCAGCTTGGCTGTTGTACGAATCGCTCACTGAAGTTCAACTCTCGCGAAAAAGCATATGACGCGACATTGCACTCGCTTCATCCACGCCGCTTAATTTGTGTCAGTTGCGTTGCGTCCATCCCAACCGTCACACCGTCTGGCAGGAATTCGCTCCTAATTGTGTCTTTACGTCGACTTTACATGCAACATTATGCAGATTTTCACATCATGTTACTTGCGTGAGTTTGAACGCTAGAATATTTTGTGAAGACTCATTTTATTATGTGCAAATAACTCACGTGATAGGCTTGTGAAATTGCTGAATCAGTGTATGACACGAAATCGCGCTACTCACTTCATTCACACCACATAATTCGCAGATTTCACGTCATTCACATCGCATCCATCACGCCACCCGGCGGGAGTGGCGTCTTATTATGTTTTTACATTGACTTCACATGTAATTCACTTACGCAGATAGTTTTATTCATACGTGGTGTGTCGCGTTTCTCGTGCGACTTTGAACACTAGAATATTTTGTGTCAGCTGGCTTCATTACACACAAATAACTCGCATCATATGCACGTGAAATTGCTCCATCGATGAACGAATTTCTGCCAGTATGACGCGTAATCATGCCACTCATTTCATTTGCGCCACTTATTTTGCATCATTCGCATTGCGCCCATCAGCGGGAATTCATGTCTAATCGTGTCTTTCCATTGACTGTACATTTAATTCAGTCTTGCGAATTGTTTTATTCGCACTATACGTGATGAGAATTTTTGCATTGCGTTACTCACGTGAGTTTAAACGCTAGCATAGTTTGTGTCCATCGCACCATCCGGGGGAAATTTGCCTCTAATTGCATCTTCACATTGACTTCATCTGTAATTCACTCGTGCAGATTGTTTTATTTGCGCCCAGTGTGAACACAACATTATGTTGTTATGTAAGAAACATCACAAAGATTTTATTTTATTTTACTAGAAATCACTGTGTGTCATCCTGCAGGTGCAGAAGCTCTCCTCACTCTGGTTCCTACACTGATGCTGAAGCTCAGAGAGGTGAAGGAGGAGGAAGAGGAGGAGGAAGAGGAGGAGGAAGAGGAGGAGGAAGAGGAGGTGCAGGTGCTGCTCCTCTCCACCCTCAGCTCCTGCTCCAGGCTGGACCCTCGACTGGCTCTGGCCTCTGACGGTGTCTCTGTGCTGGGCCACAAACTCTCCCACCGCTCCCCGAACATCCGCAGAGAGGCAGCTGCCGCCATGATGGCCCTCAGGTGAGACACCAGGCTGCAGCGTGACATCCTGCGCTCACTTCAACTGTCACTTCAACTCCTTTCAGTGCTAACACACACACACACACACACACACACATAAAGTCACTCTTCATCTTCACTCATTACTTCAAACCTAAACTGAAACGTCAGCATCAGTTTCAGTCTTTGTTTGTTTGTTTGTTTGTTTGTTGTGATTGCTCTCTGCTGGTTTAGTGTTTGTGATGATGGGAAGCGGCAGGTGTGTGAGGAGGCGGTACTTCCTGTCGTGGTCAACCTGCTGCAGGACGATGACGTCGAGGTTCAGGCCAACGCTGCAGGAGTCATCATGTACACCGTCATCATCATCACAGGTGCTAACACACACCTCATGTACATTTCTGTTCTGACCGCCGTGGCTCTAAGGACTACATTACCCATGAGCCTCAGCTCTGTCTCAGAATCAGTGAACTGATTTAAACTGGGTTTGATGGCAGGTAAGCAGCAGTGTCTGGATCTGAACGTTGTCCCCGTCCTCCTCGACCTGGTGTCCAACAGCGAAGAGGAGGAGGAGGATAAGGAGAGGAGGAAGAGGAGGAAGGCCCTCATCATGTACTCCCTGCGGGCTCTGACCGCACTGGCTGAAGCTCCGGACGGCCGCAGCCTCCTGCTGGAGCAGCTCCCCCTGCTGGTGAGGAGGAGCGAGGCTGCAGAGGAGGACCAGGACGTCCGGCGGGCTGCTCAGACCGCCGTCAGGGTCGTCACCTGGACTCCCTGAGAGGACAGAGACAGAACTGCGGGGTCAACATCAGCTGATCACAGAATAAATACTGTAAATATTCTGATTAATTTAATAATCATATTATTATTGTAGTAGTATCAATGCAAATATTCATGATTATTATATTATCTTCAGCACATGAGGAGCAGTGTGGAGCTGAAACTGGAAACGGAATTTTTTTGTAAGTCATAATCACGTTTTTAACAAATAATGCAACATTTAGGATCAATAATATTTCCTGTTCACTTTTTTTTTTTTTAAATATAAAAATCGCTACTGACATTATTTATTTTTATTTATTTCATTTGGATCATCAGCAGTGATCTCATGTCCCCCACAGAAAAACAACAACAATAAAAACAAACAGTTTAAAATCACACAGCATCAATAAAACAAGAAAAGACAACATGTGTAAAACTTACTGACAGTGAAATGAAAATATTGACACCAAATATAATTATTAATTGTATTTTTTATAATAAGAAATGACACAGATTTAATCTGAACAACAAAAAGTTGAATTAAAACACTTTATTGTGTCTGGTGTGAGCAGCAGCTTCCATGTTGCTTCATCACTGACATCGTTAACTCATTAACACTCATGTTATGACTCATCTGACTGGACAGCTGTGACACTGCTTCAGCTTTTATAATCTTCTAATGTCCACTAGAGGCTGGCTCCAACAGTGAGTCAGTCCTACAGACCTCCACGTTCACATGTGGAAATAAACATGTTTACAGCCTGGTCCAAAAACAGTTTTGGTCTCTGGAGCTAATTCCAACATTCATGACGACTGCACGAGACTGAATTTATATATAACTCACCTGTTTACATTTCATTAAGGCTTTAAGTTACACATAATTAAGGGCGGGGCCTCTCTGACTGACAGGCTGTCTGCTGATAGTGTCGTCGACTTCACAGTTAGCTCCTCCCTCTCGCCCAAATATGGTCACTTCTGGCTCCAAAAAAAACAAGATGGCGACGTCAAAATGTCAAACTAACTCCACAAACCACTGGGTAACGTTTTGTTAGCTGTGTCTAACGTTACGTTAGAGGTGCTCCGGTCATATCTCTGGACAGTTTATTATAATCCAAACTTCACTCCGCAGTTCTGATGATCGTCATATTGAATATAATCTCTATAATAATCTTTCACATGATGTCATGTTATTTAACGCACACACACACACACACACACACATTAATTCTGTAATGGTCAAGACTAAAATTATTTATAACAGCACTCATAAAAAACAGGAAGTGAAGAAACACTATCATGAGAGAGGCAGGACAAAAACTCAGAATAGAAAACAGTTTTAGATCCGTCAGTAAATAAGTAAATACACAATAATCCTAATTACAAAATTAAAAATATAATATATATATAAATAAATACATTTTAAAAAATAATAAAATAAAATAAAAGACAGTTCAATGAGGAGCCAGGCTAAAAAGGTAGATCTTGAGTTTGCTTTTAAAAACATCAACACTTATCAAAGCAAGAAACAAAAGTGCGTGAAAATAAGACAACAATAAGATTACGGCAGCAAAAACAGGACAAAAGGCACAGATCAGACATTAAACGGAAACTTTCCTACAAGAATATGTTTTAAGCAGTGATTTAAAAACAGGTGTTAGTCAGCTTCAGAGCCTCGATGGAAAAGGCCCAGTCACCTGCAGTTACCTGCCTCGATCTGGGGACGACTAGTGAGAGAGGACTCGAGGATCTCAGGTCACGACTTGGAGCACAGGCAGTCAGAGGCTCAGCTTTATAACTGGGGGCTAAACCATGCTGAGCTTATATCTGTGTCTACAGACTGTGAGCTCAGAGTGTGTGGCGTCACTGAGGACCCGTGGGGGCGTGTGGGTGACCCCAGCAGGGCCCCACGCCACAGTTTGAGGTCCCTGAGAGCAGCATCACCTGCAGCAGTGTGTCGGTCCTGAATAGAGTCTCCTCTCTGACCTGCTGCTCTGAATGAAGCCAAATTAAGGCCATCAGCTCCGGAGCAGGGATGAATGGAGCTCCTTTATCTGACTGCTGCTGAGGCCGCGGGCGCTGACGTGGAGAGGAGACAGAGAACGCCACGACACGGAGCCGAGGTGAGGAACATCAGTGCTCACGCTCAGTGCAGGAAAAAGATTCACTCAGAGGAATATAAACCTGTTTTTAATGTCTGAACACACTGAAACCTCCATTTTAAACCTCATCTTCATCAGGAGAGAGATCCTCCGACACGCTCAGTGTTTAATACAAACTGAAACTCTCCTGGTCGGTGCCTTCGTCTCAGATCTGAGAGTTAAATTCTCAACAGCAGCTTTAGTTTATTGCTCAACAACATTCTCTCTACAGTCAGTTTGTGTCTCTGAATGTGCGACCTCTGTGTCTGGAGTTGTTCACAAACTCTGAATCTATTTTTGGTTGTTTTTTTCTCTTTGCTGTCATTTTGTGTTTTATGGCCAGTTTGCATCCTTTGTGTTTGTTTTGTTTCTGATTGTTTTTGTGTCATTTTGCTGTTTTGTGGTCCCTTTTTGTCTCTTTATAGTTGTTTTGCATCTTTTTGTGGTCATGTTGTCTCTTGATGTCGTTTTGTGTCTCTTTATGGTCAGTTTGCGTCTCTGAAGTCAGTTTGTGTCTCTTTACAGTTGTTTTGCATCTATTGGTGTCTTCTGCTGTTTTGTGTCTATTTGTGGTCATTTTTTGTGTATTTATGGTCAGTTTGGGTCCCTGTGGTTGTTTTGCAGCTATTTGTGGTTGAGTTTTTTTCAGTTTTCTGTGTGTTTGTGGTTCATTTGTGTGTCTTTATAGTTGTTTTGCATCTATTTCTGTTTATTTTTTATGGACAGTTTGCATCTTTGTAGTTGAATTGTGTCTCCTTGATTTGTTCTGCATCTACTGCTGCTTGTGTTTTGCTGTTTTGTGTATTTCTGGTCACAATTTATGGTCAATTTGCATCTTTATTCTCGGTTTGTGTCTGTTTGTGTTTGTTTTGTTTCTACTTCTGCTTGTTTTTGTGTCATTTTGCTGTTTTGTGGTAACTTTTTGTGTCTTTGTAGTTGTTTTGCATCTTCTTGTGGTCAGTTTGCGTCTCTAAAGGCAGGTTGTGTCTCTTTGTAGCTGCTTGGCCTCTGTATGTGGTTGTTTTTTTGTCATTTTGTTTGTGTTTCTGGTCATTTTTTTGTCTTTTTATGGCCAATTTGCAACTTCATAGTCAGTTTGTGTCTCTTTACAGTTGTTTTGCATCTATTGTGGTGTCTTCTTCTGCTGTTTTGTGTCTATTTGTGGTCACTTTTGTCCCTTTAATGTCATTTTTGTGCCTCATTATGGTCACTTTGCATCTCTTGTGGTTGTTTGGAATCTGTTTCTGGGATTCTTTTACTGTTTTGTGTATATTTCTGGTCATTTTTTGTTTCTTTATGACGAATTTGCATCTTTATAATTGGTTTGTAACTCTGTGGTTGATTTTCATCTATTTCTGGTTGAGGTTTTTTTCAGTTTTCTCTGTGTTTGTGGTTCATTTGTGTGTCTTTATAGGTTTTTTGCATCTATTTCTTTATTTTTTATGGACAGTTTGCATCTTTGTAGTTGATTTGTGTCTCCTTGTAGCTGTTCTGCATCTATTCCTGCTTGTTTTTTGTCTCTTTATGGTCTCTTTGGATGTGTTTGTAGTTGATCTGTGCCTCTTTGTAGCTGTTTTGCATCTATTATTTGTGTTTCTGTCTCTCTGCTGTCATTTTTCTCTCTGTGTTGTCATTAGATTCATTTTTCAAATTAAACATTTCTTTCTTGTTTATTTGGGTCAGAGAAACAACAACGTCTGACAAACAGCTGAACTAAAACTCCACATACAGAATATTTCAGTAATATTGCAGCTTCAAGGTCAAACTCTTTCAGTATTTACAGGAACACACCAAAATAATAATTTAACAGCTCATTAAATGTAAGTGTCATTACAGCAGCTCCATGTTGCACCGTCATGTTTAACCCCCCCACTGCTGCTGCAGATGGACTGGTCCAAACACACAGAGGCACACTGCTGCTGATATCACACACACAAGCCACTGACACGGACACGCGCGCCCTCTCACGCGCGCTCTCGGACTATATTTGGGGGCGCTCGCGCAGAGAAACAGTTGATGACGGAGCTGCTGGATGTTTCTGAACCAACACCGGTGACAACTAACAGGTAAGGTGTGTGTGTGTGTGTGTGTGTGTGTGTGTGTGTGTGTGTGTGTGTCACCTGTCTATATTTTTATTATCATTAATAGTCTCCACAATAACTCTCCATGTGGAATATTACAGGGACATCAGCCTGTGTTTATGTGTGTGTGTGAAATAACATGACATCATGTGGAGGATTATTACAGAGATTATATTCAATATGACGATCAGCAGAACTGCGGAGTGAAGTTTGGATTATAATAAACCGGAGCCTACACATCCTGGTGGAGGGTAGATGGGGATGTTTCCAGCGGGGCTTCGGCCCGACTCTATCCCGGCTCTGCTCGACCTTGTCCGGGGGAGCCGGCGCGGTGACACGCCGAGCTGCGGTGCGCCGCAGCGGGGCAGAGAAGCTTCGCCGCCCCCCCTCCCTCCCTCCTGCAGGCGCCTCACTCTCTGCGTGTTTCCTTAAAACATGAACCCAAGCAGTGTTTAATGGTCAGATAATGGAGGTGTAATCAGGTGTCTGAAGTTATGTAAGAGGCTGCCGGGCAGTGAGCACGCCGCGGAGCAGAGGAGGAGAGGAGAGGAGGGAGGGAGGATGGAGGATGGATTAAGAAGGAGAGGATGGTTTTATGTAACAGCCCCCCCCCCCCCCCCCCCCCCCCCCCCCCCCCCCCCCCCCCCCCCCCCCCCCCCCCNCTCAAATCCTCCCGTGACTGTCCCATAATAATGTCTCTAAATGTTCCTGTAATTTAAGGATGATCATGTGTTTAGTGATGAGTCCACAGTCTGTCTGTGCTGCAGCTGGAGCTACATTTACTCAGGTGCGTCATGTTTGTACTTTACATGAGTATTTCTGCTGTACTTTATACCTCTCATCTCCTCAGAGGGGAGTACTTCTTACTGCACTACATTTACAGTCAGGAACAATATAACACACCTGCCTAATATTTGTACTTTTTATTCTTTAAAGGGAGAGTCCAGATTTTCCTAAACTGAGCTGTGTGAGGTTTTTATCCACAGTCAGTGTGTCACATACAGTAGATGTCAGTTTGGAGAAGCAGACTGGAGTCTGACATGGAGGCTAAGACATGTGCTGCTGTGGACGGGGCAGCAACAAATCATACATCACTATCAGTTTCAGTGTTATTTTGAGAATATTTTCACCTTTCCATCAGACTGCCGGAAGCTTCAGTTCCCATCTCTGCTCTCGTCACAGCCACCAGACTACATTGAGAAAAACAGTAATTTTAGCTCACTGATCTCAGGAGCTGCTGGTCAACTGCTGCTGCAATCTGTTACTGTGTTTATGTTACTGTGTGACTTTGGTGAATCTGAATGAACCCTATAAAACACCAAAGTCACACAGTAACACAAACACACTAACTGATGGAGGCAGCAGTCGACCAGCAGCTCCTGAGTTCACTGATGTTAAATTACTGGTTTTCTCAATGGAGTCTGGCTGTGAACAGAGAGATATAATGACTTCATTTTCCAGTTGGAAATCAGTCTGACGTTAAAGTGAAGCTGTGAAAACACTCTCAATATATCACACACTGTAACTGATAGTGATTTTATTAGGTGGCTAAAACATATTTTGTTGCCGACCCGTCCACAGCAGGACATTGTTAGCTTCCATGTCAGACTCCAGCCTGCTTCTCCAAACTGACACCTACTGTGTGTTATACACTGACTATAAGTGCCCTATACAACCCCACTGCAAAACATCTGAACCATCCCTTTAATTGCTGATAATAGTTAACATAGTAAAGTAAAGGATCCAGGAGTAGTTCTGACATTATCTTACCCCATCATCATCCTCACTGTGACCTCGTCACATGTCCACGTTTGGTCATGGACTTTCCACGTCCACATATGACGTCCAAGGTACCCTGGGTGTGTTGGTTGTTGACGTTCTGGGACGCCGTGTCAACTTCAGCCTGTTACATGCATTGTCTGTTTTCAAAATACACTTCTGTTTTCACAGGAAATTTAACGTTTACATACGGTCTCTTTCAAAATAAAAGCACTACGCCGGTACAACACCACCAACTGATGTTTTTTACCTTCAACAACACACACGTGGTCAGAGATGGGTAGAGTAGCCAAATATTGTACTCAAGTAAGAGTATTGTTGCTTTAAAACAATATAACTCAAGTAAAAGTAAAAAGTATTTTGCATTAAAACTACTCTGAAAAGTACAATTTATCCAAAAAGTTACTCAAGTAAATGTAACTGAGTAAATGTAACTAGTTACTACCCACCTCTGCACGTGGTTACGTTTAGGAAAAAAGAACAGAGTTTGGCTTTACATCTGACAGGAAGTGAACACTGCTCTCCCCAGTGAAAGTCAGTGGTTGTTGTCATATGTGGACGTGGAAAGTTCATGACCAGACATGGACATGTGATGAGGTCACAGAAAGGATGAGTTGCAGAGCCACAAAAAAATGCATGAAGACAACAAAGACAAAAGATGCAGTTAAAAACGAGGCAGAACCACCAAGAAGTCTGAGTGTCTGGCTCCCATGTCGGGAGGTGGTGCGGCCCTTTGCATGTCTGACCCCGTGGCCCATTGTCTCATAATGCACCCGTGATGTCACGTGATATCTACCTCATATTCGTAAACACATCTGTAGCTGTGTTTTAACATGTTAGGTTGGCTGAGCATGTTATAAGTCCAGTTTTACAGTCAAAAATCACGTCAAAGTGATTTTTTAAAAGCTGATTAGCATCTAGCCGCGTTAGCATCATGACTCTGTAATGTCTGTCTGTCTGTCTGTCTGTCTGTCTGTCTGTCCGCCATCTGCTGTGGTCCTGACTGAAACAGCTCATCCCCTGCTGGATGTGATGAGCTGTGGTTCATGTTCCCCTCGGGATGAATCCTCTGACTTTTCCTGTAGCGCCATCATCAGGTTGTTTATGACCAAACGCCTGCAGAACTGATGACATTCACATCAGCCTCAGCTAATTAGCAACATGCTAACATGCTAAACCAAGATGGTGCTGATGTCAGTTAGCGCTGTGTGTCTGTGACAGTCTGACACGGTGAGGCTGAAAATGTGTCTGCTCATGTTGAGATATAGGATGGCTGTTTTTTTTTGGGTTTTTTTTTTTTGGAGAGGGATGCGAGAGAGGCGTCGCCATGGAAACACTGAACAACAGAGCCTCTGCTGATGGATGTGAACGGCTCAGTTTTAAAAATAGAACTGCTTGGCATCTTTCTGCAGAGAAATGTTGACGGCCTCGTCATTTACCACTCAGCTCCCTGTGAATGTTTGCTCGAGGTCAAAGGTCAAAGGTCAGCATACACGTCACACTCATGAAGATAATGTGAACTGTAACAGACTAACTGATGACTCTGTGTCCTATTGAAGCTGCTGTAGCTGTGAATAATGGGCTCACAGTCCTGTGGGAGCTAGAAAGAACCTGCTGCTGTGTGTGTGTGTGTGTGTGTGTGTGTGTGTACTTGAACATGATACATAGTGAGGACCAGAAAACGTATTGTAGCAACAGAGTGAGGACTTCTTTGACATTTTGTCCAGTCGTCATCGGCCTGTTTGAAGGCTCAGACTTGGTTCCAGGGTTCATGTTAGGATCAGGTTTAGGTGAAGGTAAAGGTTGGTGTAAGTTGTGATGGTTCAGGTTAGGGACTGGTCTTTAATTATTATTTATTTCGACCCTCCCTGAGTGACTGGAGGAAGATCCATGACCCTCCCTCCACCATAAATGAGTTATTAGATTTTTAAAACTTTGATATTTGAAAGTTAAAAGTTGAAGATGAAATCCTGGAGTTTAAAAAAAGTCTCAGTTTTTCACTCTTGTCGTGTAAATGGTTTGTTTTTGGACTAATTTTAAATGAGACATAGAACAAAGTGATTTTGATGAAATATCACTATTTTAAGATCAGATTTGGTTATGAGTTTGTTTTTTTTCTGAAGGAAGTGTCTGTCACACATGATGTGTCCAAGGGTCGTCAGAAATGTGAAAATCCAAAGATAATTTCTGTTTCTGACTATGATAAGTGGTGTCATTTTGGAAGGCATATTTTCTTTAAAAAAAAAAAATCGCCAAAAAATGATTGACAAAAATAAACATCAAAAATGATCACCTAAATTTGCATGTTTAATTTGAAGATCACCAAAATTTGGAACACGTGTTTTCTTAAAACAGTCATCAAAATGTATCACCAAATTTGCATTTTTTATTAAAAAATCTGCAAAATTTATCAACAAGATTTGGAAAATTGCTCAAATTTGGAAGGCTTGTTTTCTGCCAAAAATTACCACCAAAAAATATCGACAAAATTTGTACATTTACTTTAAAAATTGTCCAAATTTATGACCAAGATTTGGAAAATCAACAAATCAACAAATATTATTGCCAAAAATTATCACCAAAAACTATCCCCTAATTTATCATGTTTAATTAAAAAATCACCAAAATTTGGAAGGCATATTTTCTTAAAAAAGTTGGCACAAATAATCACTATATTGCCAAAATGTACATGTTTTATTTAGAAATGAAATGTCACCAAAATTTGGAGGCCAAGTTTTCTTTTGAAAGAAATTGCCAAGAAGTATCACTAAATTTTGCATGTTTTATCAGAAAATTGGCAAAATAAATCACCGAGATTTTGAAGGCACATTTTCTTTAAAAATCTGCGGTAAAATAGATAAAAAAATACAACCATTTAAATTTGCATGCCCCTGCCTTAAACCAAAATAAAAAACATAAGATCCTCCCTAGTGCTTAAATACATTATTTAACATGCTGCCCCCTATTTGGACCCCCCCCCCTCCCCCCACCTCATGAATAACAAACAGTCCCTTAGGGTGAGTGGCCTGGGAATGCATCATGTCAATGAGGGTCCTCACAAGGATAGAAGTACAAGAATATGTGTGTGTGACAGACTGTGCTGCAGTGAAATCTCCTCATACTGAGGATTTTAGTTTCCTCTGAACTCAGTTATTTTTAGCCTCAGTGCACATTCAGACGTGATGTACTGTAAAAATACAACATTT